CGGGGTCGGGGAGGCGAACCGTGGTCGACTACATGGGAGTCCAGCGACATAGCCATTACGCTAACTGCTGGTCCCAAGGGGTTATGTTTCTGATCATGCCTATAGTCCAATACACTGGATAGGTAAAATAATGTATGGAAAGTAAAAATATAATACAGAGCCACAGTCCCTTATCCCAAAACACCTGGTGCCAAATACTTTTTTTTTTTCAGAGTTTTTTGCTATAGGCTGTGTGCACTCGCCAGAGAGACAGAAAGTGAGAAATCATTCCCCAGGGAGATGGCCACACCACAATCCCTCTCCTCCACCCTCTTGGGATTTTTGGAACTCACACACATGGGCCCTGAGTGAGTTTCATGCTGCCGGATCTGGGAGTCGAACCATAGTCAGCCACTTGGGAGTCTAGCACCTTAACCACTATGCTTCCTGCTGGCCCTGCCAAATATGTCTTGAGATTCAAGAGTTTCCAATGGTATTGAGTTATATTGCAGTATGATATGTAATACTTCTGTTAAGACATGAGCATCCTCTTTAGTCCAGAAACATTTCTGTTCGAGGGCTGGCCCTGTGCTGCAGTGGGCACTGCACTGCTTCGAAAAGTCAGATCCCATGTGGTGAACACCGTTAGAATCCCTGGCTCACTTGGCCTAAAATATGCTGGGCATGTGTGAGTGCCCAGGATCTGATGGGCTCAATGACTGCAGGGGATCATGGTGTGGCAGGAGCCTGTGGAGCTTGTTTTTGTCTTTATCTTTCTGTCTCATTTACTCACTCATGCTTTCATATTCACTTGTGCACAGGCTATTGTGAATGAAAGGAGAAAGAAAAATTCCGAAAATGTATAAATATTCACACCAAGATGCTAATAACCTCATGTCCATTAATCACTCTTGCTGCAAATGAAGTTACTGTAGACTTACAGAAAAACTTCTAGTTTTTACTGGAAGAAAAACTTCAGTTTTCAGAGTGGTTTGTTTTTAAGAGTTGCAGATAAGAGTTTTTGGACCTGCATTGAAAAATGCCTTTATAAATGTATAGTACTGTAGCTACAT